TTTTTATTACAGAAGTGCCACGTTTCGGAGCAGTAATTAAAGTGTGGTAAAATGTACAAACTAAAGTAAGCTCAAATGTACAAACTTAAGTATAGATGCAACAAGACACTTTGAATGGATTCTAACCACTTAGTGCATTAGGAATGAAAAAAAAGAAGGATTTGATATATCCATGGTATACTCAAACTACTAACTGCATTAAGTGTTAAATGTCTACTTGAAAGAAAAAAAAACCAAGATATCAGATGATTATGTATTATTAGTATGACATACACTGGTAGTGGAAGTAGTGGTGCAGTGTCCAAAAACATTCAATGTATGCATGAAAATGTATTTGAGTGATGAAAAAAAGTAAGAAAAAATTATGAGATTGTTAAGTTTAATACATTTTTACAGTCTGATAACAATTCTTCAAAGACTTAATTTTAGTGCTGCATTGTTCTTTCCTAAATAATTATTCCATTTGCTTATCTTGCTGAATCCAAATTCCTCCTCTAGGTAATGGATCAGTGTCAAATGATGATCCTACAATAACATTAACTAGTATGTTAAGAAAAAATTTTAAGACACTCTATTAATTGTGATTGTTTTAGTGTAGTAGTAAATGTTTTTGTAAAGGGTAATTTTTATGAACAAATGTGGGCATGCCTACAATCATTTTATATTTCCAAATCCTAGTGATACCTGTTTGAAGGGAAAATTATGTTTCAAAAGTTTGGCTGACATTAACAACTCACCACTTTCATCTTACATAATGTTTGAAGTAGTTTCATGTAACAATGGATTGTAATGAAATCTGTATTTTGCACTGAAACTTTGTAAATTTCTCCAATTTAACAACATTGATTCCATTTAGTTTTCCATCATCTGTCACTTTATATGAGCACAGAAAGTCAGCTTTAATAATAATTTAATGCATGAGATTACTGCAATAAAAACAATCCATAGATACTTTCAAGCTTTCCTATGGTTGCCCCCCCCCTCCCTCCCTCCCATTAAAAAATGATAATATCATTATCTGTTACTCAGGCATTATTAAACCAATATATCAGATATAAATGTTATTAAATTATCGAGTGGTTTGAAATACTTGAGATCTTATCAGTGTTACTTTGAGACAACAACATT